TTAGATCTTTGTAATATGTTTGTTTTAGTTTAATTACAGCTATATGTCATTCAGGAATAATCTATGAAAGTTCGTATTAAAACGGGTACTTCGTTTTGGGTACTTCCAAGATCAGAGTGTATCTGCAGGGGAAAAAAATCATTAATCGATCGAAAATTAAGAAAATCACTAAGTCATATCTTGTAGATAGCACAAATTCACTTCAGTTCATTTTTCCATTGTTAGAATCTTAAACTAATTCTACATTCTAGATACTACTTCTTCCTTAGGATGCTTTAATTCGTTGTTAGAATCCTAAACTAATTCTACATTCTAGAACATCTTCTTCCTTAAGATGCTTTAATTCGTTGTTAGAATCCTAAACTAATTCTACATTCTAGATACCACCTTCTTCCTTAGGATGCTTTAATTCGTTGTTAGAATCCTAAACTAATTCTACATTCTAGATACCACCTTCTTCCTTAGGATGCTTTAATTCGTTTGTTAGAATCCTAAACTAATTCTACATTCTAGATGTTCCCCAGTGGGACGGCGGTAAGTCTTCGGATTTACAACGCTAAAATCAGGGATTCGTTTCCTTTCGGTGGACACAGTAGACGTGGCTTTGCTATAAGAAAACACAAACACACATTCTAGACACTGTTTTACATCTTTTGGATGCTTCAATTTGTTGTTAGAATCCTAAATTCATCTTACATTCTAGATACCACCTTTTTTCTTAGAATGCTTCAATTCGTTTTTAGAATTCTAAACTAATTTTCGTACCTAGGATGCTTCAGTCTGTTGTTTGAATAGCTAACTATTTATAGACCCTGGATACTGCCTTCATCATTTGGATACTTTAATTGGTTGTTTGAATAGTATATTAATTCTACATTCTGGACATCACCTTTATCTTCGTTGTTTGCATTCTAAATTAATTCCAGGTTCTGGATACTACCTTTATCCTTGGGTACTCCAATTCGTTGTTTGATCACTATACTTATTATACATTCTGGATACCACATTCATCCTTAGTATACTTCAACTTTGCATCCTAAGCTAGAGTTTTAATCTGACACTGCTTCCATTCTTTGAATCTTCTATTTCACTGCTTGCATTAGTAAGTAATACTTATCTCAATCCTCAAGATATCACTTTCCATTTATTTGCAAAGTGAACTCTTGCAGCATTCTTTAATACCGGTTGCATTCTTAAAGAATTCTAAACAAATTATATTGCATTATATCCATTCTTAACATATCCAAGTTCGGTTCTTGCATGATGGATCACGCTTCATTCTTGCATCATCTCCGCCTTTACGTTGTTCTAGTTTGTTGTTCATCGTAAACTAGTATCTTATTGTTGCATATGTTCATTATTGGGTTGTTTTAGTTTGTTGCTTATCTTAAACTAGTATCATATTGTTGCATCCATCCATCCTTAGGTTGTTCTAGTTTATTGTTCATCCTAAATTAGTATCATATTCTCGAACTAAATCCATTTTTAATGCATCCAAATGTTGTTTACATCATACTTATTGTAGGGTTTTCTAGATTTACATTAGTAAGTAATACTTATCTCAATCCTCAAGATATTACTTTCCACGTATTTGCAAAGTGAACTCTTCCAACATTCTTTAATACCGGTTGCATTCTTAAAGAATTCTAAACAAATTATATAGCATTATCTCCATTCTAAACATATCCAACATTGATATAAGCAGTTGTCATTGGGGTATTTACATAAGGAAATTACGTTCTGGTATACTATTGCCATTCTTAATGTTTACTAAATCATGAAATATGTCATACGCTAACTTAAAATATGGTACAACATCCATTTTTTTTAGGGGTTTTTAATCATGGGCTGTATCATGTGTAAGTTAATTCTTTCAAGTATTCACCACCCAAAACAGAAAAGTTAAGAGAAATTAACTTAGTGTTGCATTTTTACATAGGAAAATTTTATATACCTGTCGTGCTATATGTAAGTGAGAAGGAGACAAGTGTACTCTTCGAAAATAGGCCTCTGAAAAAAGTCCTAACGTTCTCGTTTCTGCGTGAAGGAGCTCGAAATCTGTCGTGAAACGAAGAAGTTAAGAGATGATAAAACAACCATTGTTAAAGTGTCTTGTTCAGTGGATTCGGATACGTGTGTGCTTTACTAGATCTATAATCAGCGTTTTGTACGCGCTGTTTGTGTAATGTGCTAACGTCGCAGTCTGATTATGAAATCGATTGATGTTGTCTGTCTTGCTTGTATAAATGAGCTTTACTAGATCTATAATCAGCGATTTGTACGCGCTGTTTGTTTAATGTGCTAACGCCGCAGTCTGATTATGAAATCGATTGATGTTGTCTGCCTTGCTTGTATAAATGTGCTTTACTAGATCTATAATCAGCGATTTGTACGCGCTGTTTGTTTAATGTGCTAACGCCGCAGTCTGATTATGAAATCGATTGATGTTGTCTGCCTTGCTTGTATAAATATGCTTTACCAGATCTATAATCAGCGTTTTGTACGCGCTGTTTGTGAGATGTGCTAACGCCGCAGTCTGATTATGAAATCGATTGATGTTGTCTGTCTTGCTTGTATAAATGTAGCTTTACTAGATCTATAATCAGCGATTTGTACGCGCTGTTTGTAAGATGTGCTAACGTCGTAGTCTGATTATGAAATCGATTGATGTTGTCTGCCTTGCTTGTATAAATATGCTTTACCAGATCTATAATCAGCGTTTTGTACGCGCTGTTTGTGAGATGTGCTAACGCCGCAGTCTGATTATGAAATCGATTGATGTTGTCTGCCTTGCTTGTATAAATGAGCTTTACTAGATCTATAATCAGCGTTTTGTACGCGCTGTTTGTGTAATGTGCTAACGTCGCAGTCTGATTATGATATCGATTGATGTCTGTCTTGCTTGTAAGAATTGTCTTCAGTTAAGCAACAGACAGACTCTTCAGAAGAATAAAGTTCTACCTGAAAAGACACTTTTTCTGTAAGAGAGGTCCCACTAACTCTCTTTTGTTTTATTTGTATATGTGTGTGTGTGTGTGTATGTATATGGGTGCTATGTATGTGACATGTGTGTGTGCTATTTACGTTATGTGTATTATGTATGCGTGCTATGTATGTTGTTGTTTGTTATGAAGCACAAAGCTACACAAAGGGCTATCTGTGCTCTGCCCACCACGGGTATCGAAGCCCGGTTTCTAGTAGTATAAGTCCGTAGGCATACCGGGGTGCCACTGGGGGGGGGCAGCTGCTATGTATGTGCGATATGTGTCATGCATGTGTATGCTATGTATGTGATGCGTATTATGTATATGTGCTATGTATGTGCGATATGTGTCATGCATGTGTATGCTATGTATGTGATGCGTATTATGTATATGTGCTATGTATGTGCGATATGTCTA